CAATATAGGTCTTAAATTTGACATCATGTTATCTGCAGAGACCCTGGAAACATAAGCACACATTGCTTTGCATCTTATAAACACAACCAAGCCTTAAAATTACTTTCTGGACCACCCCTTTAAAATAAGCTCATAATGATTGTTAAAAAGAGAACCTTTTCCAAGGCCTTTTTTTCAATAAACATGGATTCAGAGATTTATTCATTTTATTTTGTGTTTTATTAGTTCATATAAATTACTCACATTAGGCTAGTGGATTGCATTTTATTGCTTTTATTTTCATGGGGTCTCTGCATCTGGTAGATCAGTCTAGTGCACTGAGCAAGTTTTGTCAGTGTTGATATTTACAGTAATTAACATCTTTGTGGCTGGGTCATGTCATATATCCAGAAACAGCATCGTTAGATTACGGCATTAGATAAGTAGCAGTTACTTTCATATGCGCGCCTTCTCTCTTAATTGTCTTCTCCATTACTTCATACCATGAAAAATACAAGGTGTGGTGAGCAGATTCAAATGCGTGTGTCTGACATTGAATGTATGACTGACTGTGTGCCCTGAATTGTTTTTTTTTGTTTGTTTTTTTGGTGGACATGTTTGTGCGTCTGTGTGTTTTTTTTTTTTTTTTTTTTTTCAATTTAAATAGTGCATCATTTTTCAGAGTTCTTCCCTGCTTTCTGACTTTGCCATGTTGTTTGTGTGTTTCTATGGCAAATGCAGGGTCAACTACGGGAGCCCAGAGGCGAGTGTCAGGTGTTATGGTGAAAATCCATTTTCATTTAAACAAAAAAAAATTATGTGAACGTCTCACTCAAGTTAATCGTTAAAAAAAAATTATCGCCCAGCCCTACAAGAAAGAACATCTAGGAAGATACACTAAGATTATATTTGGAGTGATGAAAATGTGTGAGAAAATGCACTGTGACATTAGTAGGAATAAGATCATATGTAGTGCCTATAAAAAGTAAGATAAAATAAAATGATTCAATGATTTTCAATGGCACCTCTGCACATTAGTATTTTAAAAATGAGCTGTAATGAAATTCTACTAATAGTAATAATGACTATGGGCCCTATCATACATCTGGCACAATATGGCGCAAAATGTGTATGGCGCGATTTGTTGCTATTTTCAGACCAGCATTTTGCACCATGTTGTTTAAACAGCAAATCCATTTGCACCACTTTGTGGACTCGTGGGTGTGCTGGTGCAAAAAGAGGTGTGTTAAGGCGCATTGTTGGCATGTTGCTTTTTTGAGGAACTGAAACAGACTGCGCCCTTGACTGACTAAAGCCCTGCTCACACTGTGAGATTTTAGCCACAATTTTTGTCATTTAAGACAAGTTTGGGGAATCCTAAAAGACTCCTGAAATCCTAGGCTTACATCGGTGATCTTTGATCGTTGGTTTGACATGTTCACATACAGCCCCTTAGTTCCTGTTGCGATCAGATTTTTCCACTAATGAAGTTGTGACAGTGTGAGAAGATTTTAGACACCTTCCTGCAGTGTGACAACAGCTGCGATGAGCGTCAATCCAAGAACCAATAAGAGCTCCAAATTTGATGACACAATCCATGCGACAATTCAAATGGCAGTGTTTTTTTTTTTCCTGGTTTTATTATTGGCACATGCTGTGTGCAAAATTGCAGCTACCGATTGTTTACGTTTGCTGTGAGGAATCATTTCAGAACGGGGAATAGCGAAAGCGTCATGGGTGGATGACGTTCTTTGTTGTTTGGGGCGTCTTCATTGTCGTTCAGTCTGACTTTATGACAGCTGAGATCTTACAGCGTGACATGGGAGCCATGTTCGTGCAGTCTGACATGCTACAATCATTCAGGATTATAAGAAAATCACACATTAAAAAGCTGGTAAAAGTCCAAATGTTACAAAAAATTGTATTTTCTATATAAATAAATAAAAACCAATACCTCTATGACAAAACCAAAACAAGTTTGATTTGTCCACCTGTTGGGTTTTGAAGATGTATGCATCATATGGAGCAGTAGAATAGAACATATGTTTGGATATAACTCAGTTTTTTGACTACACTTTGTTGTCATTGTTAATTTATTAGTTAGCTAGAAATGAAAACTGAGTTTAGAAATAGTTTTGAAACAAATCTTTGTTAAAATTAAATATGTAGGCTAGTGGATGTTTTCAGTGCAGTGCGTACAACACTGTTTCAACACAGTACTTTTGCGCCTATAAAGTAAAGAGTAAAAGTAAAGGAAAGAGAAAGTAAAGAGGCTAAATAGAGGAGGCTCATTTTTATCCTCGTGCAGACGGTCTGTTTAACTGTTTTCTCGCTAGTTAAGCATTCAGCTTTTCTTCTAATAAAGTCCGCCATGTAAATAACAAATGCACCATGATGCAATGCAGCTGACTGTTAAAAGGAATGGGAGATGAAACTCAGGTTGGTTTAATGCACGTTAAGCTTAAAACACACCAATGAAAGCTAATAAGCACAACCCTGTGAGACCATGCATCGTGGCGCACAGCATATTTTTCTGTCCCTAAAAACTAAAAGTGTATTCCGACACACCCTTAATACTTTTGCACCAAGCACTTTAGACTTTGCTCCTAGATCATTAAAATATAGCCTTTTAGAGCCTACAACAAATAAAAATTTAGTAAAACATTATAATGTATTTCACCAGTAACAGAGGTTTTCAACAATATTTTGCAGCATCAATTCACAATGTTATAAGAAGGCCAACTACTGCTTGCAATTGGATGTTATTGTGGATGCTTAAAGTTGAATCACACTGAATGTGTTGTTTCAGTTGAGAGAGGCCTTTTTAAGGCAGTTTAATAATACAATTTTTAGTTTAGTAATAAAAGCTTAATAATATTTTTTTCAACTCGTTGCACTGCAGGTGGACATGGCAAACACAAGAGTGTATCGCAGCAAGCACATGCCATTTCCTATCTATCTATCTATCTATCTGTCTGTCTGTCTGTCTGTCTGTCTGTCTGTCCGTCCGTCCGTCCGTCCGTCCGTCCGTCCGTCCGTCCGTCCGTCCGTCCGTCCGTCCGTCCGTCCGTCCGTCCGTCCGTCCGTCTGTCTGTTGTCAAAATACTTGCATTTTGTCAAAATGTCATAACTGGTTTTTTCACACAAACGTACCCCTGCCAGCTCTTGCTCATATTACATATTGTTTCCATACTAAATCTCCAACTGATACATAAGTGCCTATCTTACATGGTTTTTTATATTGTATTCTATAATCCATTACACTAAGACTCATGACTTTTTAATGTCACTTTATAAAAACAGTTTATCTGCAAAATTAAGCATACTTTCTGATTAAGAATCACATCAAACTCTAACTACAGGTGTATAAAACTTTCTATCAACATTATTTTCACATTTGAAGAGCTGCATCATTTTGTCAACTCAACCAGACTGAACTAAATTTTTAGGTTTTATAATTTCTAGTTGGGTAAAAGAATTATATAAATTAACAAGCTGAGATAGTAAATATCATGGATGTTTATTTACTGGGTGATCCACAGTTTTTAGGAGCGAAAACAGCAGATTACAATGTGATACTAATAAGCGGCAGGTGGCAGCGGCGATCACAGCTGATCCATGATAGACACGGTGGAGAAAACTCTGCAGACACGTGCTGGTGTCTGTATCTAGAAGTAACGCTGTAAAACAACTGAAAGGAGAAGAAAAGTCACACCAGCAGGTCAAAAGGGCCACAGTGTGTGTGTGTGTTTGTGTGTGTGTGTGTGTGTGTGTGTGTGTGAGAGAGAGAGAGAGAGAGAGAGAGAGAGATTGAGAGAAATGGAGTACTTTCATTCTCTCAATCGCAATTAAATAGGGGCTTCTGCTGTAAATATCAGCGAAAGACTGATCCAGCAAACTCAGTGAAATTGTGCACAGTTTATGAGTTTTAAGTCGTTGGAGCATTGTAAATACTCATGCTCGCCTCTTTCGCGACAGAGCGCATATAACATAAATGACGTCAGTACATAATAACCGGTTATGATTATTACTGAACCTATACTGTATTGTCTGATATGTAAGTCCCATTATTTGTTGCATAAAAAAAATATGCCATTAAGCTGAAGCAAATTTGGTTTCTGCAGCAGGACAATGCTCCAAAGCACACCAACAAGTTCACTTCTGGCTGAAGAAAAATTAAATTAATACTTTGTAATGGCCTAGTCAAAGTCCCGACCATAGTCCAGTTGAGCTGCTGCAAATAATTTTGCAAAGATGAGTGGGCCAAAATTCCTCCACAGTGCTGTAACAAACTCACTATAAGTTATTGAATATGCTTAATTACAGTTGTTGCTGCTAAGGGTGGCCCTACTAGTTATAAGGTTTACTTTTTTTTTCAAACAGGGCTGTGTAGTTTAGTATTTTTTTCCCTTTAATAATAAAAATCTTAATTAAAAAACTTAATGGTGTGTTTACTTGTGTTATTTTTGGCTAGTATTTAACAGATTTCTACCAATTGTTGTGTAAAAACAAAATGATACTGGCACATTTGCTAGTCAATGTTACCCCTCTGTAATTTGGCTCTAAATCTCAGCTGAAATTTTCCTATTTGACCTCCTTCTTAAAACTGTTTACTACTATATAAATAAACATTTATGACATTAAATATTAAGATTTTTTTAATTCATGCATTTTTTCACCAGAATGAAAATAATACATTCATTTTCTTGTCGGCTTAGTCCCTTTATTAATCTGGGGTCGCCACAGCGGAATGAACCACCAACTTATCCTGCAAGTTTTTAGGCAGCAGATGCCCTTCCAGCCGCAACCCATCTCTGGGAAACAGAATGAAAATAATTTAAACCTAAAATTTGAGCCAGGGACCTCTGATTGAGTTGACACAGAATGACCTAGATGCTGAATAAGCAAACAGCTCACTTGTTAAAACTGAACTAATTCACTGGCTTATGTTCAACTTTCTAGCTCTCAACAACTGATTTTCACCAGAGCATTTGAGTCCTGTTCATTGCTGTTGTTTGCAGGGAATAAGATAGACTTGGCTGATAAGCGAGAAGTCCTTCGTCAACGAGCAGAGGAGTTTGCAGATTCTCAGAGCATGCTTTATCTGGAGACCTCTGCCAAAGAATCAGACAACGTGGAGAAGCTCTTTCTAGATCTGGCCTGCGAACTAATCCGTGAGGCCAAGCAAAACACGTTGGACAACAACGACTCCACTCCCATGCCCGGAGAAGGGAAAAACATCAACTATTTGGGCTGCTGCAGCATGAACTAGTAGACTTGGCCACGCTGTCTGGCTGAGGAGACAACATGGATTGCATACAAAGTGGTTTTATTGTTGGTGGCCACTGTGTAGTTGCACACTACAGTCTACACTAAGGTCTACTTTATTCTTCTTAAATTCTTGGGTATTTTAAAACATCAGTGATGCTGCTTTTAAAGTTGGCATCTGAAGCTTTTATGCTATGGACCATGGCCTTGTTGTTTTACAGTTGTGCTTGCTGGTAGGTCAGACAATGAGATTTTCTAAACTCCTGAACAATGCAACAGTTGGGATTTCCCTGCTGACTTAAGAGCCTATGTATTTTTCATATTAGAGATTTAAAAAACAACAACAAAATTTTGAATGCCGATCTTCATCAGTTATTTCACTCACCTGATAAATTGGTTTGTCCAAAAATGTGTAATTTATTCACCCTCATCTGGTTCCAAATTCATATTAATTCCAACATATACTGAATCAGGAACAGCAAAATTATTTAATGACACCACCTAATTTTCTTGTGGATGACAGGAAAAAAAATGTTGTAAAGCATTGCAGACATGGGATTGGTTGTTGTGCATTATGACACACTACAGGAAGTGAAATAATTAATCCTGTGTCCTGATGCCTATTTGTTGTTTACAAATCCTCACATCACCTTACCTCAGGCAAATTGTGACGTTATTTGGAGAAAAACAAACAAACAAATGTAATCTGAACCTTATGGCAAGCCATATTACTTTAACTGTAGTCTAATTCTTATGAAGCCATATGATGCTTTCAGGTTTGGAACAATATGAAGGTAAATGAATGATGAAACTGTTTGTTTTAGGTTGGCTGCACTGTTAAAGGGGTAATTTACCCAAACCATTTACTTCTGTCATCATTTACTAACCCTCAACTTGATCCAAACTAGTTTGAGTTTTTCTCTTCTGTTCATCACAAAGGAATATATTTGTAAAATGTTATTAACTTGTTGTAATTGACATAGTATTTTCTTCCCTTTACTCGGAATGTCAGAAGCTGGGTTTCCATCAACCTGTGCTAATGCACATGTTGATGTATCGCAAATGATGGAAGCACCAAATTTGAAATACATTTTCATTGATTTGCAAAAGTCTGTGTACACTTGCTTTCAGTGGTTTTGGGGTTCAAAATAATCCTTATTTATTGTAAAATAATGGAAGATTGAAAAAAAACGAATGAACTGGCTTGGTTGCTCTAAAGTACTAGTTGCAAGGTTACCAGTATTACAGACAGCCAGTCTAATAAATTGATGGAAATGCACCTAATTTGCATTTCTTTTTTGTGAACTTTGAAAAGATTCACTTCATGTTAAAACTGAAACCTAGCTAATGGTTACTACATCAAAAATATTTTTTGTGTTCATCAGAAAACCCATAAAGTTTTGGAACCAATTGAGGGTAAATAGTGAGCACATCTTCTGTTTTTGTTGAACTATTCATAGAAAACCTAATCCCACACAATTGGTGTATTAGTGTGTACATACTAGTTGTTGATTTCTTGCAAGATTGATTTAGGTTGCGTATGCATGCATTTTTTTTTTCTCAGCACTGCTACAGCCAGCTACCTTCAGTAATCTGTGACAGGAAGATGTGATGTGAAACATCCTCATTTAAGTCCTTGTTTATTAGGCAGCCAGTTATTAGGAATATAAAATCCTCTTAGTGCTTGCATGGATGTTTGGCTGTAATTACTCAACAAAGGCCAGGCCGTTTCGATAAGTCATAGCAAAAACCCAATGTGCCTCTGCCATTTTCATACTGTCGTCACACATTAGACTCAACGGATTCTCATGGAGCATATTTGGGTCATATTTCACACTAAAATATGGTTCAGTCAGGGTCATTATATATTGTTTCGAGTTTGGTTTAAATTTGAAAAAAATTCTCACTACTGTAATGCAGTTATCAGAACAATCCTTTTCAATATAACCCTATTTTTATTATTATTTTCTTATGTTTTAAAGAGTACTGATACAACATGGGATTATTAAATGAACTGTGAAAATAATAATAAATACAGGGTTATACTTTTTTATCAAATGAAATACACTATACATATGCAGCCTTGGTGAGCATATAAAACATTTTTTTATGAAAATTTTTTTATATGTTCACCAAAAGTGTATATATTTATTAAAAAGAGTATACAACAAAAACATAATTCAATCCTACTAACCACACACTGTTGAATGGTTTCATGAGATCTACCTGTCCAGGCCTTTCAAATTACAATGAATTATTAGCAGCAAAGTAAATTATATCATTCATTTATATCTTTTCACATTTTACACAAAAATAAAAATAAATATGCACTGCCTCAAATGCTTCATTTTGTATAGATTGATTCAAACTCACACCCCAAAGTTAACTACAATTCCAATTTGTATATATTCTGTCCTTACCCAAAACATACCAGGAATCTTTATAGTTAAATTAGTCCATGCAGCTTTGCTATTGTAATAACTACAGTGATGTTTAAAGCTTTTAGCACTCGTGAGTTGAGAAGAGTTTGTGTGAATGAGATCTCATGCAATTCATAGATGTTTCAATGAGTTCTTGCACAAATGGTCTTTGTGTTTCAGTGTTAAAGAAAAAGATGATGGAATTTTTTAACTGTGTGATTTAGTTTGTGTGTTACCTCCAACCTTGGCTGTGCTTTAAGGTTGTTTGCACCTATGTCATTACGATGGAACTGTGAATCTCCTCTTTTATAGATTTTTAGTATTTAACTTGCTGCTACAAAGCTTTTTTATTCTTTTATTTGTAACAAATTTGACAGTATTTGAAAGCATAGATGCCATCGGATGCTTGGTTATTAGTAGGGCTTTTCACGTTTCAGTTTTGATTCTGAGATGTTTCAAAAGCATCACTATTCTCTCTTGAATCTATTCTGTGCTTAGTTTCTAAACTGCAAATGGTACTGTCTGTATGTTTCACAGACACTTAGTTCCTTACAAACTCAACTTGAACCTAACATAATGATAAAGTTAGGAAAGTTTCAAGCAAATTAAATGAGTGCTAATACATTTACATGTGTTTACAATTATTTTGTGACATAAAAGACCACCTAGCCTTATATGCACAAGCACTCTTCCACATGAGTATATGGCTAAAAATAGACTAATATAGAAATAGAATATGCTCAGAATTGATCCATGAGAGAATATTGGTGAACTTAGTAAATCTCAGAATTGATTTCCTCATGTTTTTTTATTTGATTTTTTTTTTCCACAGCTCTACTAAATAATACTCTAAAATAGAGAAATCTTTCAAACGTGCAGACTATAGTGCTGTTTAGACATGGTATTAACGTGTTTTATGTTATCTAATCAGATTACATAAAACATGTTAATACCATGTCTAAACAGCACTATAGTGGTCAGCCAACAAGCATCAGTGGAGTAATTAACTATAGTCTGTTGAAATATTTGAAGAAAAAAAATGTTCAACTGCAACTCGGCTTCACACACCTTAATTATATACGGAAATAATTACTCAGGAAAATTGATGGAAAAGTTGCTAATATTTAATAGAAGTATACACAGTGCTAAAAACTTGCACTAGCACCATATCAAAATTAGAACAAGAACAACAACAAACTATTTAATTGAGAAATACAATAGACCGCTGTGTTGACAAGTGGTTGTGTGAGGGGGATTAAGAGATACCCACATCTCAATAATTGTATTGCTTATAATTCAAAAGATAAAAGAGAAAACAGTGAATGTGTGAATGTGCAAGCGTTGTGCACATGTGCTCATTCATGCAAACAAATTTAGCCATTTTAATACTAAACAAATGCATAATAAAAGTGTAAGGGTGTTAATCACAAGGATTATGCAGTTTTTATTATGGGTAACAGTGTGAATCGCCAGCATATAAAGGTCCAGAATGAATTGCTAATAGCAGTTAATAACAAGCAGTTTGAAACAGGAAGCAAAGATAATGTGAGATTAGTATGAAAAGCCTATTTGTAATGAAAAATATTATACATTTTTTTATTCATTAAAACACTAAAAATGTTTTACTTGAAGATCAGATGTTTCAGCATTTTTAGTTATTCATGCCAATTATAGCATTGCATTTTCCTTATATGTACACACAGTTGCTTATGATGTTAAGCTTTTTTAACCTTTTATTTTAAAGTGATAACCTTTTCAAGTTTTGTATGATGTTTTTTTTTTTTTTTTTTTTTTTAATACATGATGTGTCATGCACAGTGTTTTGTCTAGCTTTGTTTTACAAATTCTTGCCTTATTGTAACGTGTTGCAATGGGACTTTTTTATGTTATATGTCCTAATTTCCAGTATAGTTATATTACTAAGCAAATACATTTTATTTTTTTTTATATGTAACCATTTCATTATGTGAATTACATTATGTGAATATTCATCAAGACTTGTGTCCAGTGAAGAAAATTCCAACTTTTGATTTATATTCAAGTAGATATCTGTACATTTATTGTTTATAATGTGTAATTTTGGTATATATTTTTTGATGTCATATGTGATACATTTATCATAAAGCCATGACTACAGTGATTCAGTATTGCTTATAAGCCATTTTCTTTCTGCAGTTCTGTTCATGTAACTTGTTTTAATGTATTAATACTCCACATATAGACTGCAAGTTAACACATTTATCCAAATAAACGTGATTATGACACTATCTGTATTCTTAATATAGGAAATAAAAGCATAATTTTTTTTTTTTACATTTCTTTGCAAAATAACCACAATATTAAATTAATTTTGAATTCAATTTAGTGTTTTTTTTACATTTTATTTTGTTACATTAGAATGTTACAATAAAACTTCAAGATAAATGTAGAATTACTTATGTATTGAATACCAATAATTATGCCAATAACTAATAATTATTATTCTTTTACAAATGTATTAACAAATAAGAATCATGTTTTGAACATATAGTAAAACCTTTTTTTCAATAGATGATACTCTGTCAAGTGTCGTACTGTACTTTTGTGTGCCTGTTTTAAAGTTATGTAGCCTACTGAATGTTCATTCATTCATTCATTTTCTTTTTGGCTTAGTCCTTTTATTAATCTGGGATTGCCACCGCAGAATGAACTGCCAACTTACCCAGAGGAAACCCACGCGAACGCGGGGAGAACATGCAAACTCCACACAGAAATGCCAACTGACCCAGCCGAGGCTCGAAACAGTGACCATCTTGCTGTGAGGTGACAGCACTACCTAATGCGCCTCCACATTGCCCACCTATTGAATGTATGAATAATATTATTACATATTTGACCAATATGTACCAACATACCAATACATTTTATGCATTTAATTTATATTAAACACTCATATAACTGTTAAAATTATTATATTAAAGACATAAACATAAAATAACATACTTATTATATAGGCTATAGTTATTAAATAGACAAAATTTTATGATATGTTAAAATTCTAATTCTAATTGTTGATTCTGTTTTTAACATGCATACAAATACTGTTACACCGAATGACATTTTAGTTAAATGCACAGCTAAAATAAACTCTAATAATAAAATGTTAGTACTGGTTTGTGCAGTAACCAATAAAAGGGTTTATATCGGGAGTTTTTATATCGGGAGCGAGCTCATAAATCCCATAAAACTTCAATACCCAAGAGGCATTGCGGTGATCACGTGTTTACAATGACACGAAATGTCATTGTACAAAGCATTCAAAACGCAAAGCATGTTGTGTCGCTGAATGCAGTTCCCATAAACAGAAATCGACAGAAATTAGATATAGTATGCTTTGAAGGAGAACAGACAACGAAGGAAATCTTCGATCACTTAACATACGTTGCGAAAAGATTTGGCAAGCCCACACCAGTGTTTCTAAAAAAAACTTGAAATGTAAGATATGAAAATATAAAAGCCATTTCAAATCGTTACATACATAAACATCGTTTTACTACATTTGTTTTAAAAGTTTTGCGTCATGGAGGAACAACAACAACGACGAGTCATCTGACGTCTTTCCTCGTTCCTCGTATGCAAATAACCTGCTTCATATCTCAAGATGACGACCAGTGACTGAAGTCATTCAGCCATGAGACTCACCAGCTCTGCATTGTCCTTTCGCCTTCTCATCCTTATATTCATCTTCAGTTGTAAAGCGCTGGCTCTCAAACCTCGGTTTTTAGGAAGAAACACGGACCAGAGCTTCTCTCAACACAGATCTGTTTCATACAACACTTTATATATTGATCAGCAGGTAAGTGTCATTGCTAATTTCACATAACCGTTTGTCTTTATAGATAAAATAAAACTACATAAAGTTTAATTGCATGGCAAAACTGATTAGATACTGTTATTATAATGATATTGTTCTTCATTAACGTTACCCACACAGCTTTTCATTTTTGTGTAGTCTGATAGGTATATACAAATTACTAATTATTATTGTATGTATCAGTTTGCATGAAATTAATCCATTAAAATGTATCGATATGTAATTAATTACTAATTAGAATACTAGTAAAAACAGTTAAACTGTAAAGTTTACTAATAAAATTAAGAAAAAACATTAATAAAATAATAAAAACTACATTTTAATAAAATAGTTTTAAAAAATCGATTCATTTACACTATTGTTTTTTTAAATTTATTGCTTTTTAAAAATATTTGTGCAAAGATGATTTGCTATATGTTATTCTTGAAATAAGTTTGTTAATATATATATTTATATATACAAATATAAATATATATGTTGATTAACTGAGGTGATGGTTTTATATTCACAAATCCCGGCATTCTCCTCAATAATATAGTTACAAAACGTTTTCTTTGCAAATTCTAAACAGAGAAATCATATTTCTCGTATATTATATAGCCAATAACTATCGAATTGCAACATTGTTTCCAGTCAATTAAATTTTGTTAATGTTGATTTGAAGTCATAGTTGTGATTTCAGACTGAATATTCAAAGCAGAGGGTTAAACAAAATGGGCACAAATTGTCAAAGAACATATGTGAGAATATAAAACTACCTTTACCTCAATAACTATTAAGCTTTCTTAAAAACCACAATAAAGGTACATATTACAAATACTGTTTTTATGCAGATTTTTTATGTGATTGTATTTATTATAATTTTTGTTTTTTCTTAAAATTCTTTCATTCAAAATATAATTTAAGAACACATTAAATTAAGTTGAGAATAAGTGACAATAAAGCCATTTGAAATGTTTATCTGACACTGAACTCTAAAGTAAGAATGCTGAAAAGGTAACTTTGCATCACAGAAATAAATTATGTCTGATCATATATGTAAATGGAAAACCATTTTTTTAAATTGTTGTACATTTTTACTGGTTGTGTTGAATTTTTGATCAAATAAATGTCAACTTAAAGGAACACCACCTTTTCTGCAATAAGCTCATTTGATCAGTTTCCTGGAGTTAAACAGTCGACTTGAACCATTTTTGAAACTATTCAGGTGATTTCTTGTTCTGGCGAGGTCACTATTAGCTTAGCCTAGCAATAATTTATTGAATTGACCATTAGCATTTCCTTAATTATTATTATTTTTTTTAATTTAAAGGAATGTTTTGATAACATTCCCTTTTGATGTTCGAGGTCTCTGTAGTTACATTGTGTTATAAAACTGACAGAAAAATGAAACATTTCTAATCTAGGTCAAATTTACCATGAACTATACTCGCATTCTGGCATAATAGCAATGTATGAGTGTGTCACTACTAATAGTATGTTACTAGCCTACCAGAGAGGCTGAAATACAACTCTAGGACTGCATTTAAAGGACCCGCCACATTTCTGGGACCCTGTTGTTCCTGATCTGTCCAGTAGAGGGCGGTTGGGATTAGGGGGTGGGGGCTGGAGTAGGGTGCTAAGCCTCGCCCTCCTTAGTTACTGTTGCTGCGCCTTTCAAGCTTTCATGCGTGGCACATCTATTTCAATTTACTGTGTCGTTGTCAGACATTGCCAGGGATATAAGTAGCCATTTTTGGCAAACATGTGAGATATGCGAGAAAGCCAGACAAAAAAAAAAAAGACTGCAGTATGCATTACAGGGGTATATTCACAACATAATAGGCAACCGATTAGAAAATAATTTAATCAAAATTGAACCTAAGTTAGCCTAGCCGCCTCATACGCTGAGCATTCAACAACTTAGTTCATGCACAGCAGGATAGGGGAAATTTAAAAATAATCTAAAAATTAAATCGTGATTTTTCTTTATTTATTTATTTTTTGCCAAAAAGACTGATAGATTAATTGTTGTGCAATGAAATATAGCTTTACTAACCGATGAAGAAACATTGATGGATTTGTTCCAAATATTAGCATCATTGTCCCATAACAATGCACAGTACCGATATCTGTTTGTGTGCTCTTTATCCAATTTCTATTGAATTTGCAGTTAAGTGGAAGTAATGAATAAATTAAAATGTAAGTCAAAATATAAATAGCACAAGTGAACATAGATTTTCCCTACCAGCAAATATTAATCAAACATCCAAAAATAAAAGGAGACACTAACCTTCTATTTACCTTATTCTTCACCGACGAGTGGGCGCAGCCATTTGAATCTTTTTGGCTCGAGACTTCCGGTCTCATTCACTTCTATTAATTTTTAGACATTAAAAAACTATGGAGTCGGATAAGTCTCAATAATAATTCATGCAAAAGACACGATGTACACATGCGTAGCCAAATTCACATGCATAAAACCATGTGTGTAAAATATTTCAAAATTTATTTACAAAATTCACGTGTGTAAAATATTTATTTATATTCACAAAAAAAATTTACGTGCACAAAATAAAAATAAATTTTCATAAAATATGTTTCACAAATGCAAAACACCATTTGCAAATGTATAAGAGTGTACAAAAAGTTTTGAATGTTTAAAACTTGCGAGTTCATCCTGAATGAGAATGTGCAAATCCTCTTTCACGTACGACTCCCCCTGGATACGTGTGTGTGTATTTTTGAGACTTTTTTGGCAGTCAGGGCAACTCATACCTTTCAGCCAATCAGATGAGAGCTGTAGTCAATGACACCCTCTCTGCCCTCCTTTTGCACAGACTGTTCCTCTCCAGCATGGCGAGTCTCATGGTTTGGTTTGGTTTGGTTACGATTATCATGCCATCAATTCAGTTCAATTAGATATCTCAGTGCATCACAGTGCATTGACAATGCTTTCCATACATAATTAGATTTTTTCTTCACAACACAATTTTTTTAATTAAAATCCATAAGTATATTTATATACTATTTGTAATAGAATTTTGTTCTTTAATACAGCAGTAAGATATATGAACTGTAGCCTTAATTTGACATGCTCAAAGAAAACACTCTTTCTGAGTGTATCAAACAAAACTTCATTACATGTACAGAAGACAGCATGAGCATTTACAGCAAATAAACTGATGTAAATATTATCCCGCTTATTTTACACGCCTATTACTGATTATTCTTCACCTGCCCAACAGAAAGGGCTGCTATCGGCTTTAGAAATAAAATTGCTGTTCAACTATGGCGGGAAGTACAGCCACGGTTCGGTCTAAATGCGCATAATACGCGGTTATCTCCGGTAATCAGGGCTTGACAGTAACTTTTTAGATCACCAGCCTCTGTGGCTAGTAGATTTCCAAAATTACTAGCCACTCACTATTTTTACTAGCCACAATTTTCTTTTTGGAAAAAATATATTTTGCATAAATTTGACTTTGACATGCTAAACTACTTGATTTAGATATTGTGTTATATCTACATGCCTTTCCATTCATTTTACTTATTGGGCTCTATTTTGACGGTCCATGCACAGAGCGCAAAACGCAGGGCGCAAAACGCAGGGCGCAAACGCTTTCAGGGTGTGTCAGAACGCATTTTTGCTAATTTAAGAACGGGAAATCTGCCTTGCGGCGCATGGTTTAAAAGGTTTGAGTTTATTTTCTTAATGAGTTATAGGTGTGTTTTGAGAATAAACCAATTAGAGTCTCATCTCCCATTCCCTTTAAGAGTCAGCTGCAAAGTAAGTCTAAGTGGAAAAAATTAGCATTTCAATAGCAAACAGTTAACAGTTAACAGTTAACATTTTTTTTTAACAGAAAACTGTTGAACAGAGCATCTACTGCATGAGAATGAGAGATAATGGAACCACTTTCACATTCGCTTTTGGATAGGGAAACCTTTACCCACAGACAAACTACAATTTAAAAATGATTTCCAACCAGCCAAAGTGGCTAGTGGAGGTGTCTGTCTAACCCACCAGCGCTGAAATCTACCCGGTTTGTAAAGCCCTGCAGGTAATCCATAATAGTCACAGTAAAGAAAACTCGCACCTCAGGCACACTCGTGTTTGGATCCACAAGTATCGCTTTTAACAGCGAAGAGGAGAGGAAAAGTTACCTCACAAACGCCAGCTGGTCAAACGTCCAAAGTGAGAGAGAGAGGCCTGTAGTTTTACAGCATTTTACCGTAATAGTGAAATAGCGGCTCGTGTGCTGTGCCGCCTTCATTGTAGTAAGAGTGTTATTTACTGGCTATCGCCTCCGCCATAGTATCGCGCGTAGAAGATAAATGACGTCAGTAGGTAATAACTGGTTATGATCTATGACTGAACCAATATCAATAATTTTGACACCACTAGTAACGAGTAACGATGCAGCACATAAAAAAAATCTATCGTAGTAAAAATATTACACTCATCGAAAATATGTAGTGAAGTAAAAGTGGAAGTAGGAGAAATTAAAAATACTTCAGTAGAGTACAGATACAGGCTTTTAGTACTTAAGTACAGTAGTGAAGTAGTTCTTATAGTACTTGATTACTATACATCTCTGATAGTACCCATTCTCATGTATAGGTTTTAATTTAATCAACCAATTGAGACGTTGCCCCATAGTCTGGAAATGCATAAAGACAATAGATATATGTCTTCAACACTTGGCCTAATCATTTTTGAATGGAATGAGATTTATTAAAAACCAAAGGATATAATTTTTAATTTATATATTTGTTACTGCTAATTTGGAGCTAGATTATATAACTTTTTATTCCAACACACTCTATAAAACTGTACAGGAAGGCTTAACAAATGATAATAAGAAACATTTACAAAGCAGTGTAATACTTCGAAAATCATGATCAGAATATATTTAACCATGCCTAATCTCAGATGTACAGAAAGGGATTTTTTTTTTATAAATTGTTAAAACATTGACATATGTGATGCAGAAAGCCCA